CAACAAGTTTTAAAAGTGTATCTTACCTTTTTTCACCTAGTTAACTTTTTATTTATTTATTCATGCATATTTTACTAATCACATTACATTTCATTTAGCTGACGCTTTTATCCAAAGCGACTTATAATGACCGATTACAGGGACATTCTCCCTGGAGTAACTAAGGGCTAAGTGCCTTACTCAAGGGCACACTAGTGGTGGTGTTCCTGGCGGGATTTGAACTCACAGCCTTCCGATCTTCAGCCCACCTCACTATCCATATTAGACCAATCACTACCCTCTCAAATGGAAATATGTGTTTACATAAATGGTGACCACACCGTTTGAGACCCACTGAGAACTTAGACTAAGTTAACTATCTAAACACTCAGAGAGTGCTTTACCTCACCTGAGCTGAGGTTATCCCGAGCTTGAATGACACACAGAGACCAATCAAGGGCTTTGATTTATGATCTGTATGACAGTGGCCATGTCGGCAGGCCACATCATGTGGACAGCCAGTCACCCTGTGTGAGGCAGGCCACTTAACAGGCCAGAAGGAGGCGAGATCAGAGCAAGGGAGCGAGGGATCATTGTCTACAAGTTAGTCGATCGCAGATGGCGTCGTGGTCACGGACGAATAAAAAAAATATATATTAAAAAAATATTTTATTAAAAAAAACGAAATGGGTCGCGAAATATACTTGGGCGGCCGTTAATATACCTGGGCGGCCGTTAATATACCTGGGCGGCCGTTAATATACCTGGGCGGCCGTTAATATACCTGGGCGGCCCGCCCAAGTATAGTCTATGTGTGGGAAACCCTGAATCTTTAAAGGTCCTTTTCTCAAAATGAGTTTTTTCTCCTACTCTGAGTTCGAAATTTCAACTTCAGTAGCACGTAGAGACACCAAACCTTCCAGTTATATTCCTATCAATATTATGAAGGCTTTTACAGAAGGGTTTGTTCATATATCATTCATAGCCTGAATTATACAACATTGTATACCTAAAAACATGGCGAAAATGGATATTTTAGGGCTGTTGACAGTATTTTCTGATTTATGGAATGATAAAAAGAGATATCCAATATCCCTTCTGTAAAAGCCTTATGGCGCATTTCCACTGCAGCGGGTAGCCCCGTTTAAGCGTCCTTAATCGTCCTCAGAGAAAAGAAAAGCACACCGTGGTCAACTGAGGAGGTGACGACGTTCCTACATCTCATTGGGGATGATAAAATCCGGCGGGAGCTCGACGAAACAACTTGAAATGTGAAGCCGATCGCCCCGCCTACACTGCGTTGCTACCCCAGGTCCTAAACTGTAATGGAAATGCGCCACGGCCTCGGATGGCCAGCGAGGCAGCCCGAGGCCTGAGCGAGGACGCTTAAACAGGGCTACACCGCGCAGTGGAAATGTGCCATTAGATACTAATATGACTACAAAATGAAACAAGAATTTTGAACCTGGCTTTATCCAAAGTTTAGAATTCGATTCCTGAAATGTGTTAAAATATGTGCATATTTAATGAGATAATTTGCATATTTAAACATGCTATTTCAGAAAACTTGTAATACAAAAGACAATTGCCTTATTGTAAGTAATTAACTGGAGACATTTCTAGCTGATACCTTTAAGTTAAAAAAATTACCCTATTCACCTGGGGTGTCTCGCCTTAAGGAACAAGGGCATGTTATCAAAGAAAACCTTATAGATCGATAATTAGTATTAAACTGATGCTAAAAACCTTTGTGTTTACTGCCGTTTGGCACAGGTCATTTAACAACATTATATGTTCTCACCATTTGCAGAATTCACTCTATTTTCATGTTGATTTCACAATTTTCTGTATTTCATGAATTGTTCCCCTGTTTTTCCCCATGCTTACATAAAGCACTTTGAATTTCATTTGGGCCTAACAGCTACAATACAAACAAACTAACCCATACCCCTTTTGTTTTCTACATTTGACACAACCAGTAAAATGGTCTGCTCTTGTTATTGATGAAACGTATCTATTAGACACTGTGTATCAAATTGTAATGATTCTATGTATTACTTCATGAATTTGACTTCACGTGGTTTGTCCTTGTTTGTCATGCTTTGCTTTTTGTAATGTATTTTGTTTGTTAAGACGGTGCTTTTGTCGGGACCCTCTTGAAAACAAGATAAAGAAATACATTTCTATAAATACAACCAAAGTTCGCTCACCTTCAGACGGATGCTCAAAACCGCAGTCGATGATGGCACGCAGAAGCTCTGGTTTGAGCAGAAAGTCCCTGAACCCAGAGCTGTGGATGGACACGTAGGACCCCTTCACCTCCTTCTTCCCTGCGGGGACGGCGCTCTCTGGGGCTCCCTGAGGCTCCTCATCCTCTTCGTAGTCGAGCAGCTCGTTGTCAACATCAGTCTCTGCCATTGTGTCGGTCTAGGGAGGGAAAAGGAAAAAGTGTGAGTTTAAAATTGTGAACATGTCTATCATCACATGACTGAACAACTTGGAAAAAATAAGTAGACATGTATATAGTCTTATTTCTACACTGTAGCTTTGTGCATATGACAATAAAACCTTTGAATCTTGAGTTGCACAAGTTGGATAAGTGTGCAACTCAAGATTCAACGGTTTGTGTGACTGACTGTTTTTGAATGATAGTGTGGAGATAAAAGTGGAGGCATTGATTTTTTCTTAAAACCGACTTCTCCTTAGTGTCCAAAACTTTGTAGATAGTTGCTTTTCAAACTATCTATTGGTTTGATTATATGGCTGTTATTTTAATCTTGTTTATTTATAACTTTTTAATTTGTATTTTCTACCTATTTAATGGCTTATGAGCTGTGTGATTTTAGTAAGTACATTTATTTCGTTGTGCAACACCTGGAGATTTTAAAGTGCTTTACAAATGAAGCTGTATTGTATAATTGTCATTACCATTGATTACGGAGTGACTTTATAAAAGGGACTGTACCAAACAAATGTTTAATTTAGTATGTAAAACTATATGTAGGCCGGGTTATCTCCGCAGCTCCACAATACTACATTCAAAACTTTATTTTAACACATTAAGGCACAAATTCAGTGAAATGTTGATAACATTTCCACTAATTGTGCAATCCTACAACCAACTTTCCAACTGGTTTGAAAGAGAACTGTAAACTGAGACCAGCTGTTGTTGCTATTATTTGTGTCAACTTTAACCACACATTTTAAAGAAGATTCAAACAATGTAATACTACAAAAGTGTGATAATTAGCTTTCATTGCAACATGAGTTTGTTGTGTGTACAGTGGTAGTATTATGGTTGAATAGGCGTAACTGAATCTCACCCATTGTACGACAAGAGGCTATTCAGTGAGTTATGCTAACTAGGTTATTTGCAGGTGTACAAACCAGGCCTACAATTCAAGTACGCAGTATGTAGACTAACCGGCTCCCCTTTATACAAAACACCCGTTCACATTATTTTAATGAAGCCAAGCCTTGAATAGTAGCCGATGCCTTCGGTTTAACCAAACCGGTTAGCACTAGCTTCAGATCCGTTGACAACACTGGGACTCCATTGTGTTTCATAACTAATGCTAAGCTAACATGCTAGCGGCAAACAATATTTTCCTGACGAAGCAGCGAAATCATACTCACAACCACCGTAGACAAATAAGTAACACGTATTTAATTATATTTAACTCAGCATGTTGGGATAGAAAAAGCTACGCACTTACTAAAACTATAAAAAAATAAAAATGGGGAAATGTTGGTGGCTAAGCTAACTAATGCTAACGCAGAAACGTAACGACTATCATCATAAAACAAACAATGAAAGAAGATATTTCATTACAGAGTAGATTATCGGTAACTCCTTCGAACTAAACTAATGGAACTCTTCCCAACCTTCATTCAATGTTTTTCAAAAACTCTCCATTTGTGGATAAAAGACTGAATTCTTACCTTGTCGTTGTTAGCTTCTCTACTACAGATCAAAACCGCATGGGCAGGCCTCAGTCGGTTTATACGAGTACCCGGAAGTCCCGCCTTCTCTGAAGCGCATCATTACGATTGGTGGATTTAGACGAGCGCCGGTAAAAGAGGATAGCGATTGGTTGAAAAGTGTGCCGCAGTATAAAAAAGCGGGATACAGCAGTGATGAGTGTATGGAAGCCCAGGAGAGACATTGACATTTAATTAGAATAACAAAATAAACTGCACAATAAAGTAAATGCACTCGTATGTGCAAAAAAGAAAGGAAAGACCTTTATTATGATTTTCGTATGGGCTAACATTTTAGGCCATTTAATTAAACCTTTATTAGTCCTCTTAGTTCAGGGGTGTCAAACTCAAATACACAGTGGGCCAAAATTAAAATATGGGTACTAGTCGAGGGCCGGACTGGTTCAATGTTTATTGCAGAACTTATTGAAATGAACTTATTGCACATATTAAACCTGGAACTAACAAAGCTTAAATGATTGCCTATAAAAACATTAAACATTAAATACTCAGTTGCATTCATTTCTTATGGCTCTATCTGCAGCTTTTCCGGAGTCATTTCTTATGATTACATTTTCCCACAGGCCAACAACAGCTTCAACAAAACTATTTCCCTCAAAGAGAAAACCAAACATGCCCTGTTGTCGTGAGAGAAAAAGTGCAGAAGGAAACATCCATGTAAACTCAGTGTGCTGCTCTGTGAAGCTAGTTCAGATACTTGGCATCTCATCTTGGGTACAAGTTCATCAATGTTTGGGCTCAGGCTCTGAGAGGAGGAAACCCTCAGGATGGAGTGAAGGTGTGCGTGCAATATACCGGCGGGCCAGATCTAATAGGAATTAGAAATTATCCTGCGGGACGAAATTAAATCCACCAAGGGCCTGATTTGGCCCCCGGGCCTTGAGTTTGACACATGTGACATAGTTAGTCTTCCAATAGCAATAATATTTATTTTAAATATATAGCAGGACAGATAATAGTTCACACAAGGATAACAAAATATGAAAGTAACAGTATAAATAAAAACAACAACAATAGGAATAGGTACAAAATAACATTTATTCATTCACTTTTTTCTGTATTGCTTATGTTATTTCAAAAGGTTCAACACAAATATTATTGCATAAACATGAAGTGACCTCAGTGTGGCAAACACCCAGTGGTAATATCAGTATTATTGTTAGAAATACTAATTATAAGGCTGATAAGTGCTAATAACAGCAGAAAAGTCAGTATTGGTAATGCATAGGTTCATAAAGAGTCCTTTTAATTAATTTTGGTGTTGGAGATAAGTACAACCAGCTATATATAGACACACCAGCATCCGGTTGGATTACAGTTACTAGCATTTAACACTCAGTGAGTTATTTTAATAAAGTGATACAACAGGCACAGTAAGAAACAAGCTGATCAACTGGGATTATCAAGAAATAATCATGTTTTTGTTCTCAAGTGGCCATAATTAGAGACTACGACTGCACCTTTTCATTGGTTCCTTTTTTTTTTTTAGCATGTTATTAGTTGATATATATTTTGTATTAGCTAACAAGCTGAATCTGTAGAGTTATCAAAGCTGTCAGATAAGTGTAGTGGAGTAATCGGTACAATATTAGCTTCCAAAATGTATTGAAGTAGAAGTAGAAAGTAGCAACAAATTACAGTAAATACTCAGTGTACCTCAACATTGATACTTGAGTAAATTGCATTTCACAACTGGTATTAGAGGCTTATATCTGTGATTCCAGAGCAGAAGAGAAACTCCACTGAGTAGGAGAGAAGTACGGGAAACTGTCGGACTCTGGGCGTGAATTACCCTCTGAATATGCACCAGAGGGGGGGCAAGATCTGCTCAGGAAGTCCCTAACTCTGGGGGGCAAAGAGAGAAACAGCCAGTCCTCCACCAGCAGACCCCCTCCATGCAACCCGGGGCAGGATCCCAGCTCAGCGGGCAGATCCTCCAGACTGTTACTGCGCAGATCCAACCTGCACAACCGACTCAGAGCTGCAACACCTCTGGGTAGTGCACTGAGAGAGTTGTGCGCCACATTAAGGATGTGCAGCTCCAAACAGCTACTGAACAGCTGAGAGGGGAGTTTCTCCAGTCTGTTCCCACTGAGATCCAGCTCTGTGAGCAGCTGCAGCGCTTTCACCTCAGCAGGAAGCACCTCCAGCAGGTTACCAGCCAGGAACAGCTTTCTAAGGCGGTGCAGAGTGAAGAGGGCTGGAGGAAGACTCTGCAGCTGGTTGTTGGACAAATCCAGGAGCTCCAGACCTCGCAGAACAGCAACACTAGCAGGTAATGCGAGGACTCGGTTGTAGGCGAGTCTGAGGCAGGAGAGGCGGCGCAGAGCAGCCAGACTGAGCAGCTCCTCCAGGGTCCGCAGGTTGTTGTGCTGCAGGTCCAGGGTCCGCAGGTTGGTGAGGGAGAGTAGAGCAGACGGTAATCTCTCCAGCCGGCAGTCCTGCAGCAGCAGCTCCGTCAGGTCCACCATCCGCTTCAGTCCTGTGAGGACCAGCAGCCTGGTGCCCTCGTTGAAGACCTCCAGCCGCACCAAGCTGCCCGCCACCTACCATACAACAATAATAAAGCTTTATAAAAATATATATATATTTATATATATATATATATTAGGGCTGTCAATAGATTAAAAAAATTAACTAATTAATCGCACAAATTTCTGTAATTAATCGCAATTAATCTATCAATAAATTAATTGCATTTTTCTACTTAAGACTGAAGCTTATAATGAATATTTAGTTATATAAAATCATCAAATTAATGTAGAATAAACACAGAGAAAGTATATTTAAATTCAAAGACCATTTTAATGGCTTAAGGTGCACATATGCTCAGTGCAAATACAAAACATAATTCAGAACATTGAACATTTTTCACTCCATAGACATAATTTACTTAGTCCTTCTTTACATTCAGCCAGTTACTGAGGCAGACCAGTTTGTTTACGTTATGAGGGGACAAAGAAGCTTGCTTCTTTTGTACGATGTGGCCTGAGAGTGAGAACAACCTCTCACAAGGCACTGTGGTTGCAGGGGTTGACAGGTACTTGCGTGCAATGGGTGCCAGCCTGGCATGTGCTCCCTCTCTCTTTGACCACCATTGTAGTGGACACCCCTCTATGTCCATTTTTGGCTCTGGTTTGTAGCGATCCAGACAATGCTCTATGGACTCCTCCTCGTCATCTGTATCTGAATCAGAAGAACACAGCAAGATGGACATCCTCCTCCTCTTCTTTGGTGACGGCTCCTCTGTTGTCTCAGCAGGTGGTTGTTGTGCACGTGTCTCTCTCATCATCAGGTCGCGTACTGAAGCCCACACCTCACTCCTTTCATCTTTTGTAAGGCACTTAAGGTCTTTAAACCTAGGGTCAAGGGCAGTAGTGATCTTCCGCCATTTGAGGTTGGTGCTATCCTTCCGTTGAGCTAGGTCTGTGGTAAAGGCCTTCTTGAACCTCAGAACATAAACTGGATCATCGTCTGAAGGCTCCATAACTCTGAACAAGTGGCGTAAGGCTGGCAAGACCACTGAACAGGAGACATACTGCTCTCCCCCCAGCAGTTCAGTCACATATCTGCAATGGAAAGCACAAGGTGTTAAACATTTCAGTAAATCTTTATTAACAACACAGAGAACCAGTGCAACCAGCACGCACACACACAGGTGTGAGAGCGAGAGACACACACACACACACACACACACACACACACACACACACACACCACACACACACACACACACACACACACACACACACACACATCACACACACACACACACACACACACAAACACACACACACACACACACACACACACACACACACACACACACACACACACACACACACACACACACACACACACACACACACACACACACACACACACACACACACACACACACACACACACACACACACCACACACACACACACACACACACACACGAAAGAGAGAGGGAGAGAGAGAAAACAACATACACACACGAGATGGAGAGAGAGGGAGGGAGAGAGAGAAAACGGTACACATATACTGTACACAGGAGATAGGGAGAAAGAGAGGGAGGAGAAACAAGAAATAAATAACTTACCTGCAAGGTTCAAGTAGTTCCTCCAGCTTTTGCAGTTTGGCAAGCTCCGGGTCAGTCACCATGGTAACCTTGCTCTTTTGCTGCGCCAGGGTAGTGGTCAGTGGAGATTTGTTTCTCTGCATCCTCTTTACCATTTCCAGCGCAGAATTCCATCTTGTTGCAACGTCCTGAGCAAGTGATTCTTGCTTAAGTCCGTGTGCAACTTGCTCTTCGTTTAATTCCTGAGCGTTAGATGGACTATGTTTAAAGTGCCCGACAATCTTGCGACATTTGGCCAGAACACTTTCAAATCCACTGTCTTTAAGTGAGACTGTGACCGTTCTTTGCAGACTGTGGGCCATGCAAGGCAGGTGTTTAAATGGAAGTAGCCTCGCGGCAGCTACCATGTTACGGGCGCTGTCAGCAGTGACGTTTTCTCCTGGAAGCCAGGCTTCCCGTTTTTTCGGATTGTAGTTATAATTTTAATAAATAAATAAAAACACTTCGTTTAGTTTCGGAAATTCTTTGTTGTGTGTTGCTGCCGGCCCGTCTCTCCCCCATTCTCATTGAGTATTTTACAAAGAGTGAAACAGCGCCCCTCTAGGTGTTATGGTATAAAACAGTAGATTGCACTCTCTGTTGCGAGAGGAGGCCAGCCGAAATTGGCTTCCCTTGGTGAAAAAAAATGGAGAGATTGACCAATCAGACAAGGCTCACGTCATGCCCCTGCCAACCTGTGATTAGTCAGGGCCATGCCAAGGGAAGCCAGAGGCGGCTGGCTTCCCTCTCAATCCAATCAAATCGCATCAACTTAGTGTTGCAGTGACGCATCCTAAAACCCGGAAGTATGCTGCGCTCGGTTTCCCTCGACAAAAAAGCAATGGGATTTCTCCATAGGATTTTGGAAAATAGCTCGAAATAAGGTCAGTGGGAGACGAACCTGTTAGATAAATGCACGTTTTGTTCAGTCGGATAATATCCACATGTCTACCCTACTTTTATCATTTTCGAATCATAAATCTAATCGATAGAAGATAGATAGCGTCACTGCACCACTCTCACCACCGTTAGAAAGTAGCAAGCAACTGAAGCAAGTGCAATTATGGAGGGTGGAGATTTGGAGTATTTAATCAAAAATAATTGTACTAAACTTCCGCTACAGCAGCAACAACAAATACAATCTGAAGACAGGCCGATGCCCAAACTGGAGCTGTGTACAGCGAGGAAAAAAGGAGCGAATCGGACGTAAAAGGTCTCCTGATTTAGTTTGTGAATGAATGCTTATTAGAGTTTCGGCTGGAGAGTGCGTGCGGACCTGTTAGATAACAGGCGTGTGTAAGTCCTGCATCTGTATGATACAAATGTGTGTAAAATGATACCGGGTGCTGTAATCACTCATCTGGTTACGTTATTACATTGACCACCACACCCCCGACCCAAAAGAAAGGACGTATTATTGGCTTCCCCTAATTTTTTCCCCACGCCACGCTACTGGCCGTCAGTGCCGAGTGTGGTCAACTTTTCCTTGATTTCCCATTCGTTTGCAACATCCAGAAAATGGTTAACACATGCCTCGGCATAATGTCGCTCCTCGGTTTTACTCACAGTAAGTGCAAACGACTGCAGAGTCCAGTCTTGATCAATGAAATGCGCTGTGACGCCCAAATAATTATCGTTGTTGACAGACGTCCAGTGGTCACCTGTGACCGCGATGTGCTTTGCTTGCTCAAGCATGTTCGTCCGCTGTGCCCTCTCATCCTCATACAACGTGTGTATTCTTGACATAATGGTTCCTCTCGAGGGTAAATTATAAGAGGTATCTCCCGATGCAACACGAATTACTTCTCTCAGTCCATCATCCTCTACTGTGCTTGCTAACTGGGCGGCAGTTTTTAACTATCCAAGTAACCAAGGAATTGGTTAACTTTTCACTTACAGGTTTCGTTATTCGCCCACGAGTGCCACACGCGAGGTCCCGTGGAGGTAATTTCAGCGGGGTGTTTTGCTTTGAGGTGATACGCTAAAGACGTGCTACTTCTGTGGTAATTAAATTCGGCTTTGCAAACTGTGCAAATTGCCTTGGTTTTGTCCAACGAGCCGTCGGGCAACTTTTTAAAATGAAACTTTCCCCCTAAAAGTCCGCCCTTATCCATCTTTCCGCCATAGACTCTGCTTTAGTTAGGATAGATGTTTGCCCGCGCAAGTGACCAAAGGTTATGGGTCAGCCACCACCGGAAGTAGTCAGCCGCCACCGGAAGTAAACAAAACCACATTAATTGCGTTAAAAAAATGTAATGCATTAAATGTTTAAAATTAATCGCCAAAATTAACGCGTTAACTTTGACAGCACTAATATATATATATATATATATATATATATATATATATATATATATATATATATATAGCACTTTTCATACAACACATACAGCTCAAAGTGCTTTACACAATGACACATCACAAGTTAAAAACAAGAAATTCAAGAACTTTACAGGTACATGCAGCAAAATATAACATTTGAACAGGTTAATAGGCTAAATGTATGATAATAAAATGAAATAATGGTTTCTCTCCGACAGAACAATACGATTATACTTTATTAGTCTGTTTGCCAGCTCATAGAGTCCTATTGGGAGCACGGAAATGTTGAGTACCTCAAAAGTGTTATGTTAGAAATGTACAGTATGGGCCCAACAGAGAAACTGCCGGATGCTAACTTGCATATGTTGGGCAATTTGCACAATTGGCATAAATGGGGCAAAGCCTGCGAGCTACTTCAGGCAGTCAACTTGAGCACCAATGATACATTAACACGTGACGCGTCTCTCTTACAACCGACCAAACACAATCTCCTTAACATGCCGCTCTATTTAAGCTGCCAGGTCTGCCTGCCTCTGCCTCGCTATGCTGCGGCTCTGTCACATTGCTGATGCGTTCACGTGCTGCTCGCCCCCCCCCCCCCCCCCCCACCACCACCCCAGCTTCCACCTGTAGGCTCAGGGGATAGTTATCTAATCATCACTCAATGTTCTTTGTAAATCTGTGGAGTGATGAGGCCCGAGCCTAGACGCCAAACTCAACTATATGCTGCTTATAATAAACATATTAAGAACACGTGAGTTGTCTGACTGAAGTAGCATTAATAAGCATAATGCAGACAATAGTAAGAATGGCTTGGCCGATTTTGGAACCGTTTTGGAGGTTATTGAGGATCTTGAATCAACTTCTGCCATTTCCAAGATCGAAAATGGCAGTTTTAACCAGAAAGGGACCATATTTGTGCTCCTGGTGGCTAATTTTGATGAATTTTGGGTCCATTTTACAGTTCTAGGGGACTAATATCTGCCATTTTTTATCCTAAAAAATTCCGAAAACATAATAAAATGGAATAAAAACAATAGGCTACATAGCAAATGTATTATATACATATCTACACCGGAAAAAGACAAAGAATACACAATATGTATATATAATATCCTGCTTTGTGTTAATGTATGTTTGTATTTCCACATATATATATTTTTTAATGCTATTTTATTTCCATTTGAGATGTTTACAGTTTATTTCTAGTCTTTTAATTTCTCTTATGTACCATGCCTTATCTTTTTATGCTGCTGCAACGCAAACATTTCCCAAATTGGGATCAATAAAGTACTTCTTATCTTATCTGGATATAAAATGTTCTTGATAAGTTAGACTGTATATTAAAGACCAATATATTACAGCAACAGAAATATAGACATTTTGTTGTTTTCTTTGTTTTGTTTCTGTTTCTGATTTTATGTAAAGCGTCTTTGACCACCAGGAAAAGCGCTATAAAAATTAAATGTATAATTATTATATTAAAGCGGCAGACCAACACCTCACACAGCTCCCCGGGGATCCTCTGCAGCATGCCTCTGATCACCAGCACTCGGAGGTGATGTAGTTGTCGCAGGCTTCCTAACGCCCAGCTGCGACCCACACCGTTATCACTGCTCAGGCGTCCGGAGAGGTGGAGCTCGTGCAGGCCTCGGAGGGAAGTTACCCAGCCGGGGATCTCTGAGGCCTGGGTGAAGGTGAGGTGAAGGACCTCCAGACGCTCCTGCAGGACCCCCAGAGCCCCAGGATCCACCGCAGCTGAGCAGTGGTAGAGGTGGAGCTCCCTGTTGGGGGAATACATAGTTAAAGGTCCCTTATTATATTGTTTTTCATCAATATACTACAGGTCTCAGATATATACAGAGCCTGTCTCTGATTGGCTGAAACACCAAACAGATCATTGCAGCATCCCATAATCCCCTCTGTTTCAGCCCTGTTTCCAAAGTACTGATTCTCTGTCTGTTACTTTAGATGAAAATAAGGAGCCACTCCCCACGCCCCTCTGAGAGAGATTTGGTTACAAAGAACACATTAGCTGCGTTCACACCAAGTACTTTGCCGTACTTAGTACCCCCATGGAACTAAGTACAGATCGCGGTCACACCGGAAAAAGTTCCCTGAGGGAAGATTAGGCAAATGAAGCCGCTGACGTCACTTCTTCTTCTTCTTCTGCTTTGGGTTACTGGCAGGCCGCAAACCACTTCACGGCGTATACTGCCACCCGAAGTCCCCGGGCGGAAGTCCCCGGAGTTGGGGACTGGCTTCAGTAGAAGCTGCTGGGACTCCCAGCAGCTTCTACTGAAGCCTTCCGAGTAAATCGCCAGAACGCCGACACCTCCTCATCTCCACCGCTCCACCGCTCCCATGTTTTCTTTTGTGTTGCCATAAGCTATTCTCTCTCCGTTGGTGCGGGGCGGTTAATGCTAATGCTAATAATGCTAATGCCAGCAAATACAATGGCGGCTTCACAAAACTTTTCAGAGTTTTACGGGCGTGGTTTGCAATTCGCCCAGCCAATCAAAATTGGTACTTTTTTCTCCCCAGGATAGTACCACCTCTCTAGCAGGCACTAAAAATGGGGGTAAAAGTTCTCGGAACGAAGTTCTCTTTTTGGTGTGAACGCAAAATTCCAGGCACTAACGGAACTAAACGGGAAAAGCACGGGGGAAAGTACTCCAGTGTGAACGCGCCTAATGGTGCTCTAGGAGGAGATTCAGGTGATAAGGTGTGGGGGGGGGGGGGGTTACCTTGGTTGGTGATTGGCTAATGGTTACACAAGCCAAAAAATCGTTATGACATCATAAAGTGGCCAAAATCTGATCAGCTCATTTTCAGACAGGTTTTTATATAAATGGATCAGGACAAAAAGAGAGAGAATCTTTGTTCCTGAATCTCAGGACACATGTTTATGTATAAAAGACATGAAAAAATGAATTTTGCATATTAGGTGACCTTTAAGATAAAAACACAACAATCAATACAAAATAACAGTCACTTCAATATCTTTGGGAATGTACATTAGTGCAAGATTCTGATTCCAAAGTGATATTAAATTATCCTGAACTCACCTGAGTGATTTCATGTTGGCTACCTGTGCAGTAAACCTGGCCTCGGTGATGAGCTCCAGCTTGAGGACGTGCAGCTGGTTGAGGGTGAAGAGAGCTGGAGGAAGACGAGGAAGAGCCACCAGCTGTAGTCTGGAGCTTCCTTCTGAATCCACACTGCTCATGGATCTCAGCTTCTCTTCCCCCCAACGCCTCTCCAAGCTTTCCTCCAGCAGCCGGCTCTCAGTGACCGGAGACAGAAACACGGACAGCCGCTGAGCCAGCAGGGGGTCGTACTGGTCCAACATGTGCAGGAGGAAGGCCAGGTCGTTCCTCAGGTCAGGAACATCTCTCAGAGAGCACAAGTCCTTCAGTGAGTGGAAGGAATACTGACGTAGAGAGCTGAACAAAACACAGAGGGGGAAATATATCAGACATTTTAAAGGTCACCTATTATGCAAAATCCACTTCTTCATGTCTCTTCTACATCAACATGTGTCCCCTCTTCTTCATGTCTCTTCTACATCAACATGTGTCCCCTCTTCTTCATGTCTCTTCTACATCAACATGTGTCCCCTCTTCTTCATGTCTCTTCTACATCAACATGTGTCCCCTCTTCTTCATGTCTCTTCTACATCAACATGTGTCCCCTCTTCTTCATGTATCTTCTACATCAACATGTGTCCCCTCTTCTCCATGTCTTCTTCTACATCAACACGTGTCCCCTCTTCTTCATGTCTTCTTCTACATCAACATGTGTCCCCTCTTCTCCATGTCTCTTCTACATCAACATGTGTCCCCTCTTCTTCATGTCTCTTCTACATCAACATGTGTCCCCTCTTCTCCATGTCTCTTCTACATCAACATGTGTCCCCTCTTCTTCATGTCTCTTCTACATCAACATGTGTCCCCTCTTCTCCATGTGTCTTCTACATCAACATGTGTCCCCTCTTCTCCATGTCTCTTCTACATCAACATGTGTCCCCTCTTCTTCATGTCTCCTCTACATCAACATGTGTCCCCTCTTCTTCATGTCTCTTCTACATCAACATGTGTCCCCTCTTCTCCATGTCTCTTCTACATCAACATGTGTCCCCTCTTCTCCATGTCTCTTCTACATCAGCATGTGTCCCCTCTGTGGAAAGAGACTCTGAAAGTTTCAGGAACAAAGATTCTCTCTCTTTTTGTCCTGATCCATTTCTATAAAAACCTGTCTGAAAATGAGCTGATGAGATTTTGGCCACTTTGTGATGTCATAACGATGTTTTGGCTTGTGTAACCATTAGCCAATCAGCAACCAAGGTAACCCCCCCCCCCCACACCTTATCACCTGAATCTCTTCCTAGAGCACCATTGAGTTCTTTGTAACCAAATCTCTCTCAGAGGGGCGTGGGGAGGGGCTCCTTATTTTCATCGAAAGTAACAGACAGAGAATCAGCACTTTGGAAACAGGGCTGAAACAGAGGGGATTATGGGTAATGCTGCAATGATCTGTTTGGTGTTTCAGCCAATCAGAGACAGGCTCTGGATATATCTGAGACCTGTAATATATTGATGAAGAACAGTATAATAGGGGACCTTTAAACGCTAGTTCAAAATACAGTGTAATACTCTAATCCTTTAATCAGACCGCTGGTATGCAAAACCTCATGGGAAGTGTTTTGTTGGAAGGTTTTTGAACAATTACAACCTTTGTAGTCTACTTAGAGCAGGCGTGTCAAACTCAAATACACAGTGGGCCAAAATTAAAAAAATGGGTACTAGTCGAGGGCCGGACTGGTTCAATGTTTATTGCAGAACTTATTGAAATGAACGTATTGCACATATTAAACCTGGAACTAACAAAGCTTAAATTATTGCCTATAAAAACATTAAACATTAAATAATCAGTTGCATTCATTTCTTATGGCTCTATCTGCAGTCATTTCTTATGATTACATTTTCCCACAGGCCAACAACAGCTTCAACAAAACTATTTCCCTCAAGAGAAAACCAAACATGCCCTGTTGTCGTGAGAGAAAAAGTGCAGAAGGAAACATCCATTAAACTCAGTGTGCTGCTCTGTGATGCTAGTTCAAGCAGATACTTGGCATCTCATCTTGGGTGCAAGGTCATCAATGTTTGGGCTCAGGCTCTGAGCTGAGGAGACCCTCAGGATGGAGTGAAGGTGTGCGTGCAATATACCGGCGGGCCAGATCTAATAGTAATTACAAATTATCCTGCGGGCCGAAATTAAATCCACCACGGGCCTGATTTGGCCCCCGGGCGTTGAGTTTGACATATGTGACTTAGAGTCTACAAAAATAATGAAAATGTTTACCTGTTTATGTTGTTCAACCAAAGTGAAAAGTTGTATATTTATAAGCCAGTTAGACTCCTCTGTCTTTTTGTAGTTTTACATGTTTCAGTTGCTGCAAATATGTTTTAAAAGCATAACATTCAATCTGTAGTGTGTTGAAACATACAGAAGACAACAAGTATCATTAGTGATTATTTTCACTGGCCCCTCCAGAAATATAAGTTCAATATTTTCTGGCTTTTATATCTCTGTTTTGGTCTCCTCCACTTTCAAGGCCAATTGTGCATTCCCGTGCTCCTTATATGGTCCCATCTCCCATTTTGGGAAGTCTTTCTTTTTGACGTTGGTTCATTTAAGTAAACATTTGGAAACAACATGAGCAATAAAGACGTTGGTAGGTTTCCGAGTTTCTGTTCCGACTTGATGTTGCATTTTTATGGGAATTAGTATTAGGGTTTGTCCTAAGGCTAAGCTCATTTTCCAATTGTTCCAACTGTTCTTTGTGGGTGGTTCCTTATAAGCTCCATCTAACATGTAGCCATTTTATTGTGTTTCAATGTTGGAGTATTGATGAATGCAGCCTTTAAAGTTCTAGGTTCAAGGCTTTTATTGTCATATGTACATATAGCTACAGTGTAGTTATGACAATGAAATTCTTAGGTCACAGGTTTATAGGGTTAGGGTTTGTCCTGAGCTCTTATTTTCCTATCCTTCCAACTCTTTTTTGTGGGTTGTTTGCTACAAGCAACCCCGTGATTCAATGTTGGAGTATTGATCAGTACAGCCTTTAAAGTTCGGCACTAACCTGTGTAAAATCCAGCTGAGGGTGTAGAGGTTCAGCAGGCCGTAAAGCCCCAGCAGGGTCAGGTAAGCCAGCAGTAGTTTGCGTAGAAGAGAGGAGAGAACATGGATACACTCGAAGGTGGTGTATCCCACCAAGGCCTCTTCCTCTGGGCGACAGGTGTGTGTGAAGGAGAGGGAGCTGAGCAGAGGGATGGTGTAACTGAAGATCACCATCACCATCAGCAGTTTGAATACCGTCTGAGCCAAGTATACCTGAAAGCATGAAAAAGGGGGTTTGATTAATACATTGATATTCAACCAAACCTGATCAAACATGGATTTGTGTCATATATATATATTTTTTTAAACATGTATTTATTGATTTTTTACATTTATCACATTACACAAACACAACCGAATATTCCCAACATTAGACATATGGCAGATTACAAAATAATGCTACAATAAAATTAAAATGTGTCGTTATTTGTGTCATATTTTATAGTTTCATAATACTATCATCTAAAAGCTTGTCGCGCTAGAGTTGTGCAGTGATGACGTATTTTGATTAATCGCAAGGGCTCTCCCGACTAAAAGTGAATGGGGTTTTTTAATGGTTATTGGAATATTGTGGAAAATAAGCTCTGCAAACACACATTTATGAAACTTTGTTTAGCAGGTTAGTCCTCATAGAGTAACATACAGGGACGTGCACAGACATTTGGAGGGGCTATTGCTCTAAACTGGAAAAAGGGCGCTAAATTCGTTATTCAGGCACATTTTTTGTTTTGCGGATTAGGCATTATTCTTATCATTCTTTATCAGCGCAGTAACGGTAAGGTATCTAATTACTTATTTATTTAGTATTCCATAACTTAATAACAGAGATGGTCAAACTAAAGTGGTAGAGACATGGCAGAATTCCTACAATGAAGCGGGAGAGTGAAGTGTTCTCCCGTGAGAGCAAGAAAAGAGAGCGAGCGGCCCCGTTGAGGGAGTTTACGGAGCAGAGTAAAAGACACAGAAAGACAGAAGCACAATTAGAACAAGTATATTTAGGTGTTTTTTTTTTTAAAATAACCGACGGTGTCAAGAGGAAGTAAAGTCCCCTGGTTTGTCCCCTATACTCTAACGCCAGGAAGGCACATGGTATGATCACCATAGCCATAGGAGGCCGGAGGGCTTTCCTTTGCTTCCAGCTGTTAAGGCCCTGACACACCTACCCGATTTTGGGAGTCAGAGGCCGTCAGAGGCAGTCGGGCATTCGCGGCACCCTACTCAGGTTGGTGTGTCCCGCACCGTCGTTGCTTTACGGCACATTTTCACACCTCCCGCGGAATCGGCCAAAGAAATCGCTGTTGCCTCTTTTGAATGACGAATACACACTACCGCTGTCTGCTGGTAAGGACAGTTATTGCCACTCGTCGACTGAAGTCTTTGCGGTGTGTTCGTAGGCGGGCGGCGTAGCCGACGCAGTCGACGTAGCGGACGTAAAAGTCGGGACGCCTTCGGTACGCGTCCTTTGGTCTCAGGTTGGTGTGTAGCGGCCTTAAGATTGTAAACAAAGTCACGTGACTGGGGGCAGATGTCAGCGCTGACAAGGTGTGTTTCCCGCAGCGAGACGCTACAATACTAATTGTGGGCTTATCATGTTGATTTGGCCACAAAAGAAAAAAAAAAAAAACTCTCACTCTCTCCAGAGGGGCAGGTCAGACAAAAATGGCAAATTAGCCCGTACCTGTGCACGTCCCTGGTAACATAGCTTTGATAAAAGTTGAAGCATAATGGCAATCTCCAGAAGCAAAAATCTAATAATGACGTCACCACCACTAAGCTAAAGGCGGCTAATGTTTGGCGGGATGACGTTATGTAGTCTAATTTAGACACTTGTTAGCACCCACCCTTAGAAATACATGTTAAAGCTGTATTTTATGCAGTGCTTGAATTGGAATGAAAAAGGTGCCAGTACTCTAAAATCAGCAACTTTTTCAAGTCAATTTTATATATACAGCCCACAAACAAGAATTTGGCTACTATAATGCTGGTGGGTTTGTCTCTTTACTACTGTATATTTTAGAAAGGTTCACTGTACTTAACATTTTTTATGATAGGCAGCGGATATGGCTAAAGCTCAGTAAGGTCAATATTAACTGAAAATATAGCAATCAAAGTCTAGATCTTCTGCTGAAGACACATGAAGCAGAGACCTTTCAGGTGAGAGCCCCTCTGGTGGTGTTCAACATTAATGACAAGGAAACAAAGCTCTGGTCAGAAGCATTTTTTATAAAAAGCTTTAACAAAATTAAGTATTTCTGTACATTTTGAATGCAATCTAACTTTCCAACTCAGAAAACGAAAAAGTGCCAAAAGTCTTCTCACATGGCTGAGCTGCTTTGCAATATACTTCACCACTGAAGAATACAAATATGTATAAAGTAAACTATGATGCAATCTAACTTTCCAACTCAGAAAAATGATAAAGAGCATGAACAAAGAACATGTAAAAACAAATGCAAAATTTGCACAATCTAAAATGAGCCATGGTAAAGAGTTACATTGAACACCAAGCTGATCAGATAACTCCCTAGTTGGTCTGAAGTCCTTCTATCTCCAGGATCTGTACAAATCGGCACATTATGCCAAAAGTCTTCTCACTGGGTGAGCTGCTTTGCAATATACTTCACATTGTTAGAAAAGGCTCCAGAAGGCCTTGGGGACATCAGTATCAGGGGCTGGAGCTGGACAGGCTCTTTCATCAGCACTTCTCCTTCCCTTTGCCAGCCAGGACCTCACATACTGTTCCGGATTGAACTGTCCTAGTGATGGTCCATTACATTTAATGAAAACCAGGCTGGACAGTCGGCTGACAGAGAGAGCATTCCTTTTTGCAGTAAGGATATCGTTCATGCAGCTGAATGCCCGCTCACACTCACTAGTGGAGACAGCGATGGTTCGGACTGCTTTCAGTAGAGGCTCCATGGCAGCAGGTGTACGGGATGCCCTGGTTTCCTTGTATTCGCGAAAGCCCTGAACAGTCTCTCTTCTGTCCACTTTCAGCACTTCGCACAAACGTAGCACCTCTACGTCCCCATACTGTACGTCTAACTCCTCTTCAGGCCAACTTCCAGGATGGATAACTTTCATGTCCTGGATTAGCTGATTGTCCCGGGCCTCCCGGCCATGTAATGGGATTTCTCTTGTGCTGACATGAGAGGAGGTTGTGGAAGTCATTCTGTGTCTCAGATTCTCTACCATACTGCGGAAAAACTGACCTGCATGAATCTGTACAAGCCTGCCATTCTCACGCAGGGCAACACCCTTGAAGGACTTCTCAGCTAGAGCTGTATGAACTGTAGTCATGTGTGGGCCAAGCATGGTGACCATGGATTCAAAAACTCGTATTTCTCGAGTTAAGAGCCTATCTGCTGTAGGCAGTGTCATCTCTCTTTTTTGGAGTTGCCGAGAGAGGTCGCTGAGCTCTGTGAGCGCATCGTACATCAGTCCCAGATTGCTGACAAACGTTGCAGATGTGAGCACATCATCCAGGCCCTTGTACTTTGCTCTGTCTCTGGAATCCCTGCTCGTGTCGTTTGCAGCATTTGTGAAGTGATCATGAAGCACTCTGTAGTTTTCCCAGACTGCTCTGACGCTCCTTTCACTTGAAGCCACCCAGCGGATGGACAAAACACGCCCTATCACCAGGAGACGCTGTCCGACTGCTTGCGCACACTGCGCTAACTGCCTCTGATTTTTGGGGGAGGCATGGAACAAGGAATAGAGTTTGTCAAAAAAGATCTGGAAATGATTGAGCCCTGAGACCTCCTTGACCACATCCCCAACTGCCAGCTCTTGACGATGATTGGAGCAGTGCCACACAAACAGGCTTGGGAATTTACTACACAACTGGGTAGCAACGCCTGTTCTCTTCCCTAGCATGACTGAAGCCCCATCACATGCAAAAGAAACGAAACACTGACCTAAAAAGTCCTCGTTAAAATCTCTTCCAAGACACTCCATTAACGCCTTTGTGATGTCATCAGCCGTTGTTCCATCCAACTCGATCAGCTCCCAAAAAAACGTTTCGGGCTCAGCATCAGCTAATGCTGAGCGTAGACACACAACAAGCACCGTTTTTACCACTAATAGTGGTAGATTCATCGACCAAAACACAGAGTTTTCTTTGGTTTTCTGTAATGTCTTTTGCCATTTTTTTCTTCAGCTCATGAGCTATGTGGTCGATGATTTCGCCACAGGTTTTATTGGAGTGCAAAAACCCTGCCCACGTTCAGCCCATTCAGTTTCTGTACATTCAAATCAATTGGCATGTCTGTGAATGGCCGGCTATGTTTGCCAATTGTATATGCCGTTCGAAAAACTCTGATAGTGGTGTCTAATTCAGATTTATGCATAGACTGCACTTGATGTTGAATAGTTTCACGTGAAGCAGATGTAAGGATGTCAGCAGCTTTTACATGGGCTTGTGATTCTTTATGTTCTTTGATTTTTTTTCTCAGGCTAGCTTGTTGTTTGCCCTTGTCAACACCGAAATGAGACACTGCACACTCACCCCATTCAGTTGACAGTTTCAGTCCTTGTCCAGTGTGTATTCCCAAAGATTTGACATCTCTGCATATCCGACATCCTAGCTTCTTATCTTTAAGAAGGAGCCATGCATTGGTCTTGCAAAAATATTGCACCTGGTCCGTTGTCCAGCAGTCAGGTGCATCGCTTTGCCCGGTGTTGGTGGTGGCAGTTGCGCCAGCAGCAGCTAACTTTAGAGGCTCTGGAGGAGGCGGCGGAGCTAGTGCTAATGCTAATGCACTAGAACTTGGAGCAGGAGGATCAACCAAAGAAAGCTCCCCATCAGACACAATTTCCAACACAGGCACAGCATTCTCTGTATTTGAAGTTTCTTCCGGCGACAACCGCTGTCTTTTGCACTTTTATTAATCCACGCTAACATTTTAGAAATGCTAATTTGTGACGTGACTTGCTTTCCTTCTCTCGGGGGCGTGCCTGCTCTGTTCTATCACTCTACATAGCCACCCACTGGGTGGGAGTTGCACTGCATAAACACAACACACGTGCATCTAGGTATGTAAATTGTAAAGCATTAAAACATGGTTTTACTAACAGTTTTCAGTATGTTGTTACTTCGGCATTATTATTATTATTATTATTATTTTGAAACGTGTATTACTATTAAATCACGGTCAAATAGGTTAATTTTGACATAGTCGTTTCCACCACAGTATTTACATGGAGAAGATAAGCCCCGCCCCCTCTCCAGCACGTTCTGTTTGAATGACAGGAGTAAACAGCTGACAGCCGCTGTGAAACTCCAGCGGTTAGAGCGATGAGAATGTCCGTTCGGCACCTCATGACGCATCTACTGAGTACCAGGCGGCTGTATATATATATGGATGTATAATAAGAACGGCGGGAGAGTGTTGAGTACTGGCACGGTGCATGAGTACCGGAGTACCGCCAGCATGCCGGTACTGAGCAAGAAGTGCCGGTACTCCATGGGTCAGAACCAGAAGTGCCGGTACTGCGTACCGGTGAGTACCGGCCCAATTCCAGCACTGATTTTATGTGAGAATGTAGTAAACTACAGACCGAAAACTCATTAAAAAAAACATTGACTTTAAAACAAGGGAGCCGAGAAGTGCTAACATGCTAACAAATGTCCAGGTTGAGGACTTATTCCTGTACTACTCTATAAACACAATGTAATCTTGTAACGCTATTAAAACTTTTACTTTTTTGGAGAGCAGGTTTCAACAGTTGAGCTTACAGAAGATCTACTATACATGTATCCATTAGACTAGAGGATCTCTCACCTTATAGATGACATCTGCGCTTTCCGAGTGGGACCGAAACTTCCTGACCCTTTCGAACAGCGCTCTGGTTTGTTCCCCGTCACTTTTATCCAGACTGATCACCTGCCTGGGACTGTCCACCATGAGAGAGGGCTTGGAAGAAGGAAAGTTCACCTGGGACCCGAGGGATAAGGACGAGATGTTGGAGTGACAGGAGTGTGCGGAAGGACATGGAGAAGGAGGGGTAAAAGACGCACTATCTAACCTCTTTAAAAGGGGGCTATCTGTTCCTGAGTCTATGCTCGATCCTCTGGTTCGGACTACCGGAGCTGAAGATGAGTTTGAAGATAGAGGAGGTTGAGGCGGTTGTCTTTCCTCCACTACTTCCTTCTCTTGGATGCTTTCCTGTCGAGCGGCGTGAGACAAAGCCTGAGATGTCCATGGGGACTCGCAGCATTTGGACAAAATGGCGAGGAAGTGCTCTATGCGGGCGGAGGTGTGAGGGAAGTGGAGCCAGAAGGAGCCGCTGGCCACCAGAACCAGTGACTGCAGCATGGCCATGTACGGGAAGAAGCGGGAACACAGCGGCAACGCCTCGTGGTAGCACACCTGAAGAGGGATAGACAGTTAAACCTGCAATTATGAAGTTGTCAGAGGCAGAAACAATATGTGAAAACGAAATGTGTAAAGCTAGCTAGCTCCACATTTAGACAATACAGAGTAAAACACATCCAAATGTTTAATTAGGTACCTTAACGTCACTTAAAAATAATGTTTTCTTAACATTTTGGCCATAATGCATAGATACAGACAGATTTGAAATGGGCAGAAGGGGGGGACAACAGAAAGGCCAACAGGACAGAGTCAAACCAGGGTCCAATGCAATGCTCTTGGTACATCTTTAGCATCACGTTTTAAGGTGCAGGGCAGTCAAATAAAGTTCAAACGAGCAAACCAAAAAAAACATAATTAGCTTTTGTCAAGGTATTGGCTAATAGCAATAGACAAACATTTGGTGTAACCAATCAGAGAGCTACTACAGAAAGCCTAGGGCTCATGGGAAACAAGGTTGGTTGTCAGAGTTATGTGCACACGTGTAAGGATGTCACGATGTTGTTGAGGAGTGAATAAAACTACATTTGAATACAAATGAACTGTATCCGCCAACAGTTTATTTGACAGGTTTAACCTTACATAAGATTACATAGATAGACAAAATAGGTAACATTTTAGTTTTTATACTACCACCTGCCATCTGACTTTCCTCCTTTATTAAATATTAAATAAATATTTTCAGTCAAAAACGAACGAAGTAACAGATTCCCTTAGTTTTGAGTGTTGTAATGGCGCATTTCCACTGCAGGGCCTCGCACAGCTTAGTACGGTATAGTTAAGCTCTTGGTAGGCCAGGCTCACTTTATGTACAACAACTCATTAAATACAACAACCTCTACAGGCAGTCCTTTATTTGCAAATCTTAAGATAAAGGGGTACACAAAGCATCATGGTTTGATATGAAGGGACATTGACCTAACCCTAACCCGTATTTGACCAGTTAAAAGTGATTTTTCAGACAACTTGATTTATTCAAGTCCAATATTCACTCTTTTATTTCTGCTTTTGGTCTCCTCCAACCCCTTAGGCAATCTGGCAATTTAGCAGCTAAATGTTCCACTAGCAAGCGGACAACTTTATCTGTCTTCTGTATAGAGCCAAAATATAGCATTTATTAATCCTCAGAACTTTTTTGCTGCCTTCTGAAGCCTTACTCCAGTCTAACGAGAAATTTGAGATGAAAACATTAGAGTCGCGGACCAGAAAACCAATAACCTGAAGTCTCTAATGGCGCATTTCCACTACAGAGCGGAGCGCGGTTTAAGCGTGCCGTGCAGTGCCCGCTTTTGGATGCGTTTCCACTAGGCATAGTTCCGGCTAGCGGGTACTTTTTCACAGTTTTCTGGCTCTCCAAAATCGAGGTTCTTTCCGGGCCAACAACCAGAATCAGAGAATCGCTACAACAAAATGAACATATTTGACCGTGATTTAATTGTAATACACGTTTCAAAATGATGCCGCAGTAACAACATACTGATACCGGTTAGTAAAAACCATGAATTAATGCTTTGACAAGTCTGCAGACAGACGGCAGGCAAAAACCTTTTAAAATGCGTGTTTTCTAAGCTAACGCAGTATATGCTCCGACCGTCCACACTCACAAGTTCACAACAACGGCCTACAGACATAAATAAACACGACTGTATTCGCCATGACACAGGCAGTCTGTGGTTTGTACTTGTTTAACTTTTGTCTAGTTTCTGAACAGATATGAGGAGCTGTGAGCTCTGAGGGCTAACAGCTAACGGCTGATGTTATGGTTTTGTGGTTCTCATTGAAGATGACGTCACGGCTCCGCCTACACTGCGTTACTATAGTTACTACCCCAGCTACTAAACTGTAATGGAAACGCAGCATAAAGTGAGCCTGGCCTACCAAGGCCTAACTATACCGTACTAAGCAGAGCGAGGCCCTGCAGTGGAAATGCGCCATGACAACACTCAAAATTAAGGGAATCTGTTACTTCGTTCGGTTTTGATTGAAAATATTTATTGTAGCTGTTTAAGGGAATACACTTTTTAATCTGTTCTGTTGCAACATTTTCAATAACAAGGGGAACACACATTAGTATGACAGTACCTGGCTGATGTAGACGTACTGCTGGTAGACCAGATGTGTGCGTCGACCCCTCGCTGTAGTGTGAGTATTTGGGCTGATGTTGCGAGGAACATGGTTTGGGGTCTTTGAAGATGGAGTCAATGCTTCCCTGTTAGAAGAGGGACTGTGATTACTGGTGGTTGGAGGGACCAGTGGATCCAAGGGGATGCAAACCACTCGGTCCCGGGACAGCTGCTCCGTGCAGGCCAGGACAGACGTCATCAGCATCAGGACCACCAGGTAGTCCATGAACACCTCCCACCACGGCTTCAGGAGTTTACACCGGCTCTGGTGCTGGTTCAGAGGAGCTAGCTCCGACAGGGAAAACATGGCGACCCTCTGGGGGGGAAATAATCGGGAAAATTGTGAATAACGGCCCGTCCACACAGCGGCGTGCGTTGAAAGCTTCACCATTCACTTTGAATGGGGTGACGTCACTTTTCGCCGAACTGCATTGTGGGAAGCGACGCAGAGCTTTGCTGGCGTGGCTCGCTGTAAAAGTTGAGCAATGTTCAACATTTGAAGCCTCAGCAGAAGCGTCAGCCAATCGAATCATATGCCAGTACAAGCTCTAGCCAATCAAACCGCTGCTTGTGTGTCCGGGGCGGGTGATTCATGTGATTGGTTGTTGGTCGAGTTTCAGACACGCCCGCCGGCAAGCGTCAACGCACGCCGCTGTGTGGACGGGCCGTAAAGGTCTTGGTTATGAACATAAACTGATGTTCAAGGTTCAAGGTTAGTTTATTTGTATAATAATAATATAATACATTATATTTATATAGCACATTTTAAAGGTTCCCTATTATACTGTTTTTCATCAATATATCACAGGTCTCAGATATATCCAGAAGCTGTCTCTGATTGGCTGAAACACCAAACAGATCATTGCAGCATCCCATAATCCCCTCTGTTTCAGCCCTGTTTCCAAAGTCCCTGTTTTCATCTAGAACCCACCTCACCTCTGCCCACTTTGACAACCTAGGATGGCTTAGAGTAGACGACAGAGTACAGCTACTTGCAATGGGCCTGGTCTACAAGATCCACTACACCTCTATGGTACCCATGTACATGTCAACATTCTTCCCAAAGGTCAAGGAATACCATGATCATAACACCAGAGGGAGCTCCACAAATCATGTGAAACCCAGATTTGGCACAAAAAAGGGGGAATACACGTTTCGCAATTATGCCACATCAAGGTGGAACGCTCTTCCCACAACTGTAAAGGAAAGTAAAACTATACTTACCTTCAAAACCTCTCTTAAAGAGCACCTTCGGGGGAGAGCATTGCAAAACTGGCCCCGGTAATGGTACAAATCTCAACCTGTCGTTCAATGGACAGCTTCCCCCCCCCCATCTATGTATATACTCGCATTTTAGACTCTGTTACTAACTGTATATCTGTAGACTTGGTATGTCTTAAATGTCCGGTTAGGATGTATTAGAACGAAATCTAAAATGAAAATGGTAAATAAGCAATCTGTATGTAAAAAACCACCTGTATGTAAATTGTAAATAAGCCATCTGTATGTCAAATATGTCTTAAATGATATGATGAATTGGAAATGGGGGACCCTGTGTAAACAAGACGAAAGTCTTTCTCTGGTCTGCATCCCCTTAACAATTGTATGTTTTGAGCTGTACTGTACTGTACCCAATATACAAGCTGTTAATAAACAGCTTGTATATTGTATATTAGCCAATCACCAACCAAGGTAACCCCCCCCCCCCCCCCCCTTACCTTGGTTGGTGATTGGCTAATGGTTACACAAGCCAAAACATCGTTATGACATCACAAAGTGGCCAAAATCTCATCAGCTCATTTTCAGACAGGTTTTTATAGAAATGGATCAGGACAAAAAGAGAGAGAATCTTTGTTCCTGAAACTTTCAGAGTCTCTTTCCACAGAGGGGACACATGTTGATGTAGAAGAGACATGAAGAAGAGGGGACACATGTTGATCATCAACATGTGTCCCCTCTTCTTCATGTCTCTTCTACATCAACAGTTGATGTAGAGGAGACATGAAGAAGAGGGGACAAATGTTGATGTAGAAGAGACATGAAGAAGAGGGGACACATGTTGATGTAGAAGAGACATGAAGAAGAGGGGACACATGTTGATGTAGAAGAGACATGAAGAAGAGGGGACACATGTTGATGTAGAAGAGACATGAAGAAGAGGATTTTGCATAATAGGTCCCCTTTAAAAACAATCTCAAGGTGCTTCACAATGCTATGAGGAGAAAATAATAAAACAAATCCAATAAAAAGTTATCTAAGAAGCATATTATAGCTCATTTTAAGACACAGAGGCAATTCAAAGTGCTCCACATAGGAATTTAACACATCATAATTAAAAACAAAACAAACAATTCATAAAAGCGATAAAATACTGGCTGCAGCTAAAAGTGCAATGATAAGACACGGTTAAAGGATCTCAGGATAGGCCGCATCAAAAGGAAAGGTCTAACACAAAACACACTGATAACCAATTATTGATGTACAAATGAATTTAACGCTCTGAGATAAGGACCATATGTTCACTGGCAGTGTTCAAATTCACTCTTTAAGTGTTAAATTAACAGTTAAAGAGTGTTAAATTAACACTCCGGATTTTACTGAGTATCTGGTATCTTTGAACTGTATCTCTCATAAATCTCTATAAATGAATAAATAAATGTAACTATATTTCATTATTTTGTGTTTGTGTGTGCAAATAAAATAAAGAAATAATTAAATAAAGTACTGGTCTGGCTTATAATAATAATTGTACACATAATAATAGTAATAATAATAATAATAATAATAAAATAATAATAAGAAATAATAATATAATGAAACTAATAATGTGATAACATAATATATATAAAATCTTCTAATAAAAAAAGAAGCCTAAAACTTCTGTCCCTTGTAGGCAACACTTCTAAAGTCTGCTACCTGGTAAAAATACAAATAAAAACTAAACACTTTATGTTATTCATGTAATTTCACCTACCTGCGTAAACGACTTGTCCTTTCTCCCTCCCTCTCTCCTCTGATCAGCTCTCAGAAGCTCTCATACCGGCGCTGTCTGGTTCTCTCGTGAAAAACTCCAGAAACGTACAACAAACTCCTCCTCAAACACAGCTTTTCAAACGTTACCATGGCGGCGAGGGATGTGGGGGTAAAGAATCTAATTCAGCTCTTCAAGAAGGGGGAGGGGGGGCTTTAAACTTTAACTCCTTCAGACTCTGAGGAACACATTGTAGAAATATCTGATCACAACAATTCACAGCCACAACGAAGTACTTGATATCAGAGGTGGGAGAAGTACTAAAATCTTGTACTTGAGTTAAAGTAGAAGTACTCAGGTCTCGTACTTGAGTAAAAGTAGAAGTACTCAGGTCTTGTACTTGAGTAAAAGTATAAGTACTCAGGTCTTGTACTTGAGTAAAAGTATAAGTACTCAGGTCTTGTACTTGAGTAAAAGTAGAAGTACTCAGGTCTTCTACTTGAGTAAAAGTAGAAGTACTCAGATCTTGTACTTGAGTAAAAGTAGAAGTACTCAGATCTTGTACTTCAGTAAAAGTAAAAGTACTCAGATCTTGTACTTGAGTAAAAGGAGAAGTACTAAAATCTTGTACTTGAGTAAAAGTAGAAGTACTCAGGTCTTGTTCTTGAGTAAAAGGAGAAGTACTCAGATCTTGTACTTGAGTAAAAGTAGAAGTACTAAAATCTTGTACTTGAGTAAAAGTAGAAGTACTCTCAGATCTTGTACTTGAGTAAAAGTAGAAGTACTCAGATCTTGTACTTGAGTAAAAGTAGAAGTACTCAGATCTTGTACTTGAGTAAAAGTAGAAGTACCAGAGTGTAGGAATACTCTGTTACAGTAAAAGTCCTGCATTCAAAATGTTCCTCAAGTCAAAGTAGAAAAGTATTCTCATCAAAATATAGTGAAAGTAGCGACAGTGAAAGTAGTCATTGTGCAGATTGGTCCATTTCCAAATAATATATATGATATGTTTTATAATGATTGATCATGAAAGTGTTCTCAAAGCTGGTAAAGGTGCAGCTAGTTTGAATGACTTTGTATACTGCAGGGTAGCTTGTGAATTTACTCCAGGTGGAACTAAAGTCTGATTTAACACTTGATTATATTTCACATTATTCATCCACATCTGTGAAGTAACTAAAGGTATTAAATACATGTAGTGGAGGAAAAGTACACCATTTACCTCTGAACTGTAGTGTAGTAGAAGAACAAAGTAGCATAGCAATCCTCAAGTAAAGTACAAGTATCTACAAATTGTACTTAAGTACAGTACTTGAGTAAATGTACTTACTTAACACCACAGCTTAATATCAGAAACATGCAGTTGTGCACCATTGATGAAGTATTTAAATTATACAATGAAGCAAGGTTCAAGGTTCAAGGTTCTTTATTGTCAAACTAACATACCTACAGAGTAATTATGTCGTTGAAAATCTTAGGTCACAAGCTTCTCCAACACAATGCAGGGAGTACTATGATGACATTATGGGGACATATCCTAACCCCTTTATATATACCACTGTCTTGAAATCAGCTTTGATCTTAATTTGATCTTGGTGAATGTAAAAATAAGTAGTGTTTTGAGAAAAAGGATATTTATGGACAAACTAAGTCCATAGGAAGAATAATTTCCTATGAAATGGTTGCTGAAAGTGTGCTTCAGAATAACTGAAATGGACACCCGGACATTACATGATACTTGTTAGACGCTTTTATCCAAAGCGACTAACATACTCAGGACAATCCCCACAGGAGCAACTTGGGGTGAAGTGTTTTCAGGGACACAACGACATGCTGACTACAGTGGGGTTTGAACCTGTGACCCCCTGACCCCAACACCTACGGACAACCCACTACACCACACGCCTCCCTAAAACATTAAAACACTTCGTGTGTAATACAAATGATCATATGTGTATAATATATTTACAACGTTGTACCAGCAGGGGCTGCTGAAGTTACTCAGTTACACATGACAATGAATTTCAATTAACTGAAATATTACATCCGCAGCAACTGAATAGACAATTGTAATCTTAGCGTAGCATCAATCTTACCTCTCTTTTAAATAACATATCATTTCATTTGGCTGACTCTTTTATCCAAAGTGACTTAAAATTAGAATATTCTAATTCTGATTCTGAAGAGGAGACAAATTCAAACCAACAAGAATACTTCAAGTACATTATCTTAAAATAAATAATGTATTTATCAGTGCTACCTACAGAAGAGAGAAGGATTTTGTTTTATTTTATTAAGGTGCAGTCAATACAGACCTTGCAAACTAAACATAGTAT